TGTACACCTCATAATCTGATGTCATGTGGTGGCTTACAGGTGTAAATGCCCCATGATGTCACCTGACACTCCAGCAGGTGGGGCCCACAGACGCAGTCTGTTCTTCCAGCTCACACCTGTCTAGCAGCCCCGGCCCAGCAAGGAAAGCCAATGGTGTGGATGTGGGTGTGCGTCACCCAGGCTGCACTTTTCACATCTGCTGACCATTTTCCTTAGACACATGTTACCTGACAGTGTCAGCTTATGCTTTTGTTCCAGTCTCTAAGAGGGCAGGAACTTTCTCTCTTGTTCATTGCTACATGGCTGATGGCCAAGGGAAGGGTACAGTGCTATGTTGGGAACTGAGGCACCGGGAGTAGCCTGGTGAGGACATGGACAGCGTCATGGAGGCTTCACATAGGACCAGGCAGCGGAGCCTGTCACCTCCAGCCTCAGCCCTGCACAGTGCCACCAGAGCAGAGCCCCCCTCCAGTGCAGAGACAACGGGCTTAGGAGCTCTCCGGGCACAACAGCACGTACCTTCTGCACACTTACCTGCCTTCTCTCAGAGGCGTACCCATTTTTACCCATTTCTCCTGCCTCTAAGCAGACGGTCGATTGGTCTGCTGCATTGGGACTCTCCAAGGCCATCCCTCTCTGCCTTCAGGTTGCCCCGAAAAGGTCAAAGGTGACCCCATAGAAATACTCACTGTTAAGTGATGGTTTGAGAGAAGGCCTACAGCAGGTATTTCCATCTTCTGTTTTCAGAAATTAAGTCGATTATTGAAAGTGTAATTCTGGACTAAAATGTGAGTCCAGTTTCTGTTTTCTCTGCAGCACCTGTTGAATAGGGACGTTCTTTCATCTGCCCTCCTGGCTGAGGGCTTGCCGATGGGACGAAACATCCTGGGTGACCTGGGGATCTGGGAGGTGGGTTGAGATGATCCTTGGGAGTCCCCACTTCTTACAGACCAGGAAGCCATGTGTGCCATCGAAGAGCAGTGACATTTCTTAGTTGTACCACAGATGGGCGCTGGAGACCACCCGAGCACAGGCTTCTGTTCAGCGCTGTTTTGCGTTGTCTTAGCTCTGTCAAGTGTCTGGCATTACAACCTCGCGGGTTCCAGGCCCGGAACAGTAAAAGCCGGCGTGCACACACAGCTCCCAGGCCCACGCTCACGCTTGCGCCTGCAGTCCCTCGGCCTTGTCTTACTTTTTGTTCTGGTTGGCTTTTGGGAAACGCCACACACCATGCACAGACGCCAGGGGCTCTCTTGGTACAAACTTCATTTAACGATTTTAACAGGACTTTCTTGGAGGGCAATTAGAAATTAAGCAGCTCAACCGTACTCTAGAGCAGAGAACTAAAGCCCACCATGCACGCTTGCGTTACAGCAGCTGCCCAAGTGCTCCGTGAGTGGTGCGGCATCTGCACAAACCTCTGTGGTTTTCGTTGAGAAAACATTCTGGCTTTAAAACCCCTCTGAGAAGCATGGCTGAAACTGTGTCATTCTGCCCAAAGAAAAAGGTTCTATGACAAGAGCTGCATTAGAATAACTAGTAGCCAGTCTCCCTGCAACGATGTGGACAGTGGAGGGCCAAGAGGGCCGCCTCCCTCGGCCCCGCCACTGTCGGGCTGGAGCCACCGAGGCCAGCCTTGGGACCCTGGTCAGAGAGGAGGGTGCTCCCAGGCCTCCGTCCTGAGTACAGAGCACGGCTGTGTGTCACGCAGAAGCCGGAGGACTCCTCCTCAGCCCTGGGCATCTCTCCATCATGCCACTGAGCAGACTAAGAGTTTCTGAGTGGCCAGCCACCGTGGCGGGGTTGCCGGCACCCTCGCCAGCACGTGCCCTAAAGCAAGTGCTGTGTTGGAACGTTTTGAAGTTCATGTTCACAAGGCCCCTCATGCTGTTGCTGCAGAGTCCCCGTGGACACAGAGACCCATCAAAATCTGGGGTCAGTGTTGCGCAGGACGTGGCAACCTGCCTGAACCCACCACCCATTATTTTTAAGCAAAATGTTATCAGGACCCAGCCACGCTCACGCTCACTCATTGTCTTTGGCTGCTTTTGCACTACAAGGACAGCTTTGGGTGGTCCTGACAGAGACCATGTGGTCCGCAAGCTAAGACATCCACCGTTGGGCTCTTGGCAGGAGACGTTTGCTGGCCCCTGGCCTCGAGTCACCTTTTGGGCTCTTTAGGAGCCTAGCGATGACCCTCAAGGTACACCTCCTGTGTCCTTCAGAGGTACCTCCTTCAGCCTGTTGCAGGGGCAATTCCAGAAGAAATTGTGTAAGCCAGGTATATTCTCAGAAGAAAGAAAATCAAAGGCAGCAGAACGCTGAGAAGCACGCAGGGTCCTGTGTAACTTCCCGTCTTGTGTCTCAGAGCGAGCTTCTCAGCTGGCACAGTGCCTCGGTGTGGCCTTGGTGTGCACTTCTTGGCAGACTTTCTCGTGCCACCTAGAGCAGACTGAAGCCACATGATCTCTTCATATGAGGGGCCTTGTGCCCTCTTCCTCACCTGAGCTCACTCTGGGGGGGGGTTTCAGAAGCCGCAGTGCATGTTCCTGGAGTCGGGATGGGGCCTTCCTTCTGCCGTGGTGTCCCCAGTGGCACTCGTCACCACTGAGCCACAGAGAACTGGCAGCAGGCCTCCACCTTGTAGGTCGTGCTCTGGGTTTTTAATCCTTCCTCCGCCTGAAATCAGGAAAACTTTTCAATAGGATTGCGATCTAGAAGAGTCCCCAAATGGGGTCACATTTAACTTGGAGCGTTTTGTTTCTTTTGGCCATATTTGATACTTGTGCTGTCTTCAGTAGGGAATTTCACTTTGTTGCAAAATCTGAAGGAGAAACTAGAGGCTTTCAGGGCCAGCCCTGCTGCCCCTCAGTGTTTCTGGGAGTTCTGTGGTGGAAAGGGACCCCCGCCAAGACGGGGGTATTCGGGTGCCCTGCATGAGGGCCTCTGAAGACCCAAGTGGAGGGAAGGGGTCTTGGTGCACCAGGCCCACGTGTGGTGGTGGAGGTGAGGGACACAGGGAAGGTGTCTGGTGCCTGCTGCAGCCATGAATGGCCCCAAGGAGTAGCAGTGGTGGCACCATAAAACGTGGACTTCCCCAGCAGAGGCTGAGACGTGTGGGGAGTCAGGTGACCCAGGGGTCACAGCAAAAACGAAAGGCACAGCTGCACGTCCCGCCTCCTCCAGCCCGCACCAAAACTGGAGCCGCCAGACCACCTTCCTCTTGGGACCACTGCTGTCCCCAAGGAAAGGGGGCCATGATCCTGCCCACCTCACCCACAGAGGGAGTGAAAGACTCTGAAGGTCAGCGGTGATTATTAATTAAAAGTCAAATAAAGCAGCTCAAACAGCACATGAAACTGCTTAACTTCCTGATTCAGTTTATAACACCGGCATATATTTATAGCACTTGCTGACCTGATCGTTCACTCTACGCCGATAGGTTGTTTTGTGTTAAGTGTTTTTTCCAGTTTTCAAGTAGAAAATTTTCCTTGTTTCCCTGATGTATGTTAACCACTGAACTTCTCGGCAGTGTTTATATTTTCCAGTCAATTCTTTTAAATTTGTCATCAGTGTTCCCTTAAAGATCCCAAACGTCTAATTTCTTTTTAGTTCCCCCTTGCACCGTCCGTACCATCGTTGGTCACCGGTGTTGCCACCTTCTGGGTGAGGGGAGCACACTGGGGCTCCCATGGGGCGAGGGATGGGGAGGACTGTCCCTTTTCTCCCGTATTGAATGAAAGCCTTAGAAAAGCACAATATCCTCTCACCCCCGTTAGACTGGCCATTGTCAAAAAGACAGACAATAACAGCGCTGGCGAGGATGCAGAGAAAGGGGACCCTCGTACACTGCCGCCGGGACTGTAAGTTGGTGCAGCCGCTATGGACAACAGTATGGAGGCTCCTCAGACAACTACAGACAGAGCTGGCACATGATGCAGAAATTCCACTGCTGGGTGTACACCCAAAGGAATGGAAATCAACGTGTCGAAGGGACGCCTGCACTCCATGTTCATCACAGCTCTATCTACAACAGCCAGGATATGGAACCAACCTAAGTGTCCATCAGTGGATGACTGGATGAGGAAAATGTGGTATATATGCACCATGGAATACTGCTCAGCCATAAAAAAGAGTGAAATTCTGTCATTCACAGCAACATGGATGGACCTGGAGAAAATTATGTCACATAAAACAACCCAGGCACAGAAGGAGAAATACTGCATGTCCTCACTCATAAGTGGGATGTGAATTAACAAACAAACAATAAAGAAAAAGAAACAACAATCACAATAATACATTGAACTTTTAGAAAGAGGGAACACAACCGTGTTTACTGGAAGTGGGGAGGGGAGAGGGAAGAGATTAACGATGATGTGTTAACAGACGCAAAGAGTGATTATGTATCGTCACGATGAATCAGCTGACTGTCCTGGTCTGACCATCACACGTTGTACACAACTATTGCTAGTCAACTTTGTACCCCACAAATACGTGTAATCACTGATGCTTCAATTTAAAAAACACAACACTGTAGCAGCAGGGCCACCCGAGGGGGTGAGCACAGCACCTGCTGCGGGGTGGATGGGAAGGGAGAGCCTGGGCTTGGCTGGGGAGGATGGGGGTGGGGTGGGGTGGGGACAGGGAGGTCAGGGTGGGTCCAAGCAGAACTTAAGACAGGCAGCTGGTGCCATGGAGTTACAGATCACCTCCAAAATATGCATCCCAAAAAATACCTGTGCTATAGCTTTGGCTAAGTACGTGTGTTGGGCTGTTGATTTGGACTTTGAAGGTATCTATGAAACATGCAAGATCATGTTTGCATTGATTTCCTTTTGATTAGCAGAGAGCTGTAAGACTCCACCCTCAGCCCACTAACTGTAAGGGGATACAAGTACAGGCATTGTCGGCATCAGAGACCATGTGTGTTCTGGTGACTATCCAGTTCTTTCGGTTGTGTCCTCAGCTGACCTAGTGACAACTTCTCCTGCCCTTTGCAGAACGGTGGTCATGCCGATTGCAAACGAGTTTGCTCCAGATGTGGTGCTGGTGTCATCAGGCTTCGACGCTGTAGAGGGCCACCCCACACCTCTTGGGGGCTACAACCTGTCTGCCAAGTGTAAGTGGGTCTGCAGGTGACCGAGGAGCTGAGGTCACCCTCAGCACGCCCGTGATTCTGCTTGTTTTTATGATAAGTTGTGTTGTGTGTAAAGGAAAGTCGCCTCTTCACTTACTACCAAGAACGTGACAGTCCGTTTAGGTCCCCAAGAGCCCAGAGCGAGTAGCAGGAAGCTGCAGAGCAGGATGTCTCAGGCTCTGAGTGTCCTGGCAGGGCAGCAGCCCATGAGAAGGGCGTAAGGGACTTGGTGCTGTCAGCCAGATGCGGGCACCTGAGGAGCTGCAGGCCACCTCTAGGTGACAGCAGCAGGTCCTCATCCCTGGTGGGCTTTTTGTTCTCTGATGTTGCCCTATGTCGATGGGCAGGAGCAGGCCCTAAATACCTGTGAAAAGAGAAACATTTGTCAGCGAAGGCAGCTTCAGAGCTGGAGAAGGGGCCCAATGTCATGCACGTGCTTTGGAGGATTTGCCTTAGATGAGGGCCATGTTTTTTAGTACAGGAGGAAGAACGACCAAACAGCTCTGCCCCCAGCAGTGGCTGTGTCCGCAGCAAAGCAAGAAATGAAAGCCCTCCTGGCATCAGCACCTCGGGTCACACAGCGGCCTCCCTGCCTCCTCCTCCCAGCCATGGCTACCCAGTACCTTGGGGTTGGAGCTGTTGCAGGGCCAGGGGATTCTTCTGTGGCCCAGGCCTCCTGGGGCCTATAGACTTGGCCTTACTGACTTCCTCGAGGCCCTGGCATCCAGCAGGCTGCCCTCCCTGTCCTCCGTCAGCACAGGTCACCAAGGAGGAGAGCCACTCTCTCTGGCCCCACACAGGAAGGGCATGGGTTCTCCAGAGGAGAAGGGGGACACCTAAGGCAGCCAGCACAGGGCCTCTTAGAGCCACCTGTTCCTAAGCCTGGGGCCTAGTGGCCAAGGAAGTGGCCAGCAGAAGGCAGAGAGCACCCATCGTGCCTGGTGCCTCCCAGCGCCCAGCCAGAATGCCTCTGCCGCCGTATGCTGAGCTTCTCATGTGGTCCTCGTATAGCCCTGAAGCTGCTGTCTGTGTTTCCATAGACAGAAAACCTGAGGCTTTGGGAAGTCACAGCCTCACCTGCACCTGCAGGTGTCAGACAGTGCAGCCTGGCATGGGCCCGGTCTGCTGACAGCCAGCCCATTATCGGGGCCACCAATCAGTGTCACCTAGTTTTCCCCAGCTCCCTGATAAATGTCAGACTGTCCCAGCTGAGGGTAGCAATTATCTTTTCCCGTCAGCAGTCTCTGCCAGGGGGTGGCTGATGTGGGTGCAATGGAGGGATCAAAGCCAGATGTCCAGTGTGTGTGAAGCCCTGGGGGCACCTGCAATGTGACATGTGTGCATGCAAATGCATCTGCAGGGCACGTCACATAACCAGAACCCTGTGGGCCTTGGGAGTGGACCCCTCTGGGGAGCTAAAGGGCAGGTGGCAGGGGCTCACTCAGCTGCCCTCGTTCCCAAACAAGATGGTTTGCTGCATCATAAAATCAAAGCACTGAAGCCATAATTCGTATTCTCGGATAGATCAAAAAGGGAATCCGAAACCAAAATTCTTCAACGAACTTCCTAAATCAAACCTGGCCTCTATTATGTGCTTCGGCATCCCTGCCCCCAGGGCCTTTTGCGTGGCGATGTCCTGTGCTCTGGGAGGCTTTGATCCCCAGCCCGCCCGCGCCCTCCCTCGACTGCACTCCCCGCTTGTCGTTGCAGGTTTCGGGTACCTGACGAAGCAGCTGATGGGCCTGGCCGGCGGCCGGATTGTGCTGGCCCTCGAGGGAGGCCACGACCTGACCGCCATCTGCGACGCCTCTGAAGCCTGTGTTTCTGCTTTGCTGGGAAACGAGGTACTGAGACCCCGTGGAGTGCTCCGTACTGACGATCTGCAAGCCCGGCTGTGAAAGCGAGTCGGGTCTCTGAGCTGTGTAGACTCTGCTTCCGGCTGGGGATCGAGCGTCCCCATCCACCCCCACTTAGCAGGACTGCTGTGAAGTTGGCAAAACTCTTTGATTACAGCCAGAAGGCGGTGGGGGAAGGATCGGCAGGAACCTTTGCTCTAGAAAAGTGGTTTGGATCCACTCATTTGGCTTCATTTTTCCTTCAGGTATTGGTTACAGTCAGGATGTCATGACTGAGAGGTTTCATTTTTCTGACTCTTAATTTCCTCTGTGGACAGTCGGTTTCTCTAGGAAGTTCTGAAGTGGGTTTTGGGAGTGGCTCAGAGGCCGGAGCCTGGGCTGCTCTGCCCAGCAATCCCGTCTGCTGTTCTGAGCCTGCAGTGAGACCCAGGGTCAGGGCTTGTGCTTCTCCCCATCAACACTGTAGGACAAGGTCAGGGAGACACCACGGCTTGCACAGCCAGGCCTGCAAGGGCCTGTACAGAGAGAGGGAAGAAAGTTGCTAGGGCTCAAGGGGAGAGAGTCCATGTGGAGCGTTCCACTCCAGTGGGACACGTCAGCGGTGTGTTCCTGCCCATCCAGGCTCCGGTATGCTTGGCCTGTGCCCAGCGAGCACTGCCATGGCTGCGGGCCACAGGATGGTGGGAGGGGAAGGTGCTGCTGGTGCCATCGTCATGTCCCACCCAGGGAGCATCTGAGGAATATGACGCAGAGCCGAGTGCACCTTTCATTTTGACTTTCCAAAGTGTGCTCTTCCTGAAACTTTAAACCCAGCCAGGGGCCTTTTGGGTGTGGGTGCGCCCACCCATCTCCTGGCTCCGGGCCTTTCCTTTTGCTTGCTGCGGTGTCAGCTCAGGTCCTGAAGGGCCAAGTGTTCAGGTCACCTGACCACATGATGGCAGCACAGGGTTGCCCTACTGGGGATGTGGGGCCAGTGCAAGCCTCTGCCTCATGTTGCCCTCGGGGCCCCTCGTAGCCCATCAGATGGCACGAGGGTGTTCTTAGAGTCGGGGGCCTGCTGTTCAGAGGGTGTGCATTGTTGTCTCCGTGCCCATCTTGCTGGTGCCCAGTGGCTTACAGGAAACCCGCATGCCCACCCCCGTTCGATGTTCAGCCCCCCTGTGGGCACCGCCGGTAGCGGTAGGGTAATGCTTGTTCTCAGGGCGAGGAAAATGTACATTCCACCATCCTGCCTTGCCCGTTTTTAAGTGTTAATCATTGCAAATATTGTCCCCGGACCCCTACGTTTTGGTAGCCAGTGGAGCAGTGACTGTGTTGCCGTTTGGTCAGGTGTCATGTCCTGCCTCGTGGGCAGGTGCTCAGCACAGGGCTGTGGTCTCCGGCCCTCCTGTTGGCCGCCGTGTGGCACTGGACTCGCAGGTGCATGCACTGCTGCAGCTACTGTGAGGGTTGTTTGGCACTCAGTGAAGACCAACTCTTGCCTGGCATCGTGGGGTGGGCAGAGGGTGGCAGGCAGGGGGCAGTAGCACTCCCGGGACGTGCTCAGCATGAGCCCCGCTCCCACAGAGCGCCTTGCTCAGGAAGCTGACCCAGGTTGCAGCACCTGCTCGCACAAGGATGTGGCAATAGACGGCAGCCCAGGGCAGCCGCAGATGCACTTGGGGTTAAAGTGGGGGTCAGAATCTCGCAGAACACAACAGACTACTGCAGTTAAGCCCATCACTCATAGGGTTTGGCCAACAGGCATCATTCTAGAACATGCAGAGTGGGGGTGAATGAAAATTGGCCGTCTAGACATCCACAGCTGCGAGCTCATGTGGCATGTGCCACTCATGGGGGGTGGTAGGCTGTGGGGCCTCACCGTGCAGGCAGTGTTGCTGCTGGACTTGTTGCTGTGAGCGTCAGAACAGCAGCAAGTGCCCCTTTCCTAGAGTGCAGCCAGTTACGAGAGGAGCCCCAACGGTCATAGCCAGTTCCCACCTCCATGACCTCTGCTGTCTGTCCCCTGGGAGCTGAATGTGCTGCTAATCAGCTGCCTCTTTAGCCAAGGAAGCAGACAGATTCCTGGGCGGGGTCTTTCCTCGGGCCCACCATACACATGAGCACACAGTAAAGAGCCTCACCTTTCCTAGGCCCCTGCCACGTGGGCATCAGAACCTTCCTCTCTCCCCCTCCGTCGATGCTGTCGCTGTCAGGAGGGAGACCATGGAGGGAGGGCTGAGCCTCCAGGCCCTGGCCCCTCCCTGCCCCCTCAGCAGGCCTGCTTTCCTTGGCTTTTCTGCGAAGATTAGATCTGTAATCACAAATTAAGAAGACAAATCACTCTTAGACAAATCTGCATTATCTTCTGGGAAGGATTCTATTCAAACACAGGTCCTAAGGCCATGCGTACCTGAAGCGTTGCTGTGTGACACAAACCACCCTGCACAGCCAGGTGCGTTCAGACTTTTGCCTTTAGATGTTCTGTCAGCAGCAGAGATAGCATTTGTAAAGTGCTTTACAAGAGGGACCCTGCAAGGCCCCTCTTCTCTCTGCTTGGGATTCCTTATCTCAGGGCTGTGGGTAAAGCCAGCAGTTGCCCCAGTGGCCACGACTAACCATGCTCAGGTGCTGAAGGAGGCTGAAGAGCAGCAGTACTGAGCTCTAGACCTCCCGAGCCGCCCTGACCTGGACAAGTGGAGCTGGGGAGCCGGGGCATGGGGGTGGCCGGCAGCCATGCATGTCTCACTGCATGGAGGCCACATCACTGCACTCCAGTGGGTCAGTGGGTCATAGTCAAGCAGGTGTTCCTGGAGAGGAGGATGCCACGGACTGGGATGCCCCAGGGGTCAGCTAGAGACCAGAGGTACACGGCTCCCTGTGGAGGACAGCCAGGCTCTCGGAGGTACTTGGGGGGCTGGACCAGTGCAGCCATGAGGACGAGGCTGGGAAGGAAGTGGGGGAAGGGACTCATTTCCAGCCCAAAGCTATCTGCTGGACGCCACCTGGACCCCAGGGCTTCAGAGGGTGCACCAGGTGTCCCCTCACACGCCTCAGCTAGTGATAGATGGTGCCACACCCTGGCTTGTGGGGAGGTGTGGTGACTTACTACAGAGTCAGGGAAGCCCAGTGATAGGGCCTGACATGAGGCAGGGTGGCCAGGAGCACAGCCCCGACCACATAAGGCTCGGGGGCAGTTGGGTCCCCAGGACACCTAGGGAGGCCCCAGGAAATCCTGAGGACCAGCTGAAAGGAGGGGGTCAGAGAGTGGGGCAGCCCCGGGGCAGCTTTGCTTCACCAGAGCTGCCATGCCCGGTGATGGCAGGACTGAGAGGTTCCAGAGGCCTAGACCTCGAGGCACCCAGGGCCACATCTCCTGATGACTGCAGCTCTGTGAGGAGCCCTATGGAACCATGCGAGTCCTGCAACCTGAGCTGACGCCGCCAGCCACCCTAGAGCAGCAAATGTCCACAGGGGGATGCCTGGGCTGGCCGTGCTTGCTCTTGATGCCTTGCTCGTCACAGCTGGTGCTGGTTCTAATGTAAATCACGAGTGGTTCAAAGACGCCAGGGGCATCGTGCCGTGTTACTGCCAAGTCGGTAGCGATACACTTGAGTACGATGCCAGTCTGCTTTCTACAGCGTCCAGAGCGTTTCACCTCTCCTTTCTTCACAGGAAAGAGTCTTTCCCCCTCTTTTGTTCTAGTTAAAAGGCAACTGTGGTTGTGTAGTATGTTCAAACCATTCTGAAGCTTTATGATTCTTATAACTAGCTACTTTAAAACAGCAATGGAGAGCTTAGCTTTCAGTTAGGGCCCGGTCTTGCTCCCTGATGTGTGTTTGGTCTTCTGGCAAGAAAATGTTCTTTTACTTAAACACATCAAAAAGCAGGAAGCACCAGCTTTATCAAGGTCTCCTAAAAAAATCTCCTTAATGCACGAAAGTTGGACTGAGCCCCACTGCTCTGCCCGTGGCCTTTGATGCAGGCTGATATACGGTGTGTTAGCCGGTTTGGCGCTCACCGGGCAGCCAGCTGTGGACGGCAGCGGCCGCGGGGAGCCTGCTGCGCAGAGGGTCAGCTGAGCGATAGCGTGTAGGGACGTGTGAGCAGACGGTTCATCTTCCCCAGTGTCTCCTGCAGTCGGTGCTGCTCCCAGCAGCCATTTATCCCGTGTCTCAATTTTCAGTTACCTGCAGCTGTCAGGATCGACAGTGTTAGTTCACCTAGAGGTGCTGCACCTGCAGTTTAGACAGGCCATGGAGCTGAGTGGGTGTGGGGAAAGCAGAGGCCCTGCCACCAGATGGCAGCTGGGGGCCACAGCTCCTGGAGCTCTCCACAGAGAGGGGCCTGCCACATCTCATGCCAGAGACTGTCCCTAACAGAGGTTTAGGGTTGGCCAATTTTCTAGTTAGTCATGTGGCATTTCAGGGTTAATGCCACATTTCATTTAACTCACCCAGGACTGATGGAGGACATTCGCGGGGAGCAGTGAGGTGCGGGGTTGCAAAGGCTTTGACCCAGGAGTTGGCGCTGTCCTTGCGTCTGATACTCTGTGAAAGGGTGGACGTTGAAAAGCTCTGTGACTACAGAACAGCTTTGTGTCTGTGTGTGTGTGAGAGAGAGAGAGAGAGAGACTGCGTTGGCTCAGTCTGTGAGCGTGAGGCTGTACGAGCTGGCCGTGGAAGTGCTTAGGGGCGGCTGGACCGAGAGGAGGTCAGGCCCGGGACCCGGTGGAGGACGCCATCTGCAGGAGGTGGGAACGGAGGCCTCACACAGAGCAGTGCGCGGTGGCCAGAGAGGCCCACCCAGGCCTGGGCCCCGGGAATCCCCTCGGAGAAAGGAGCCGGCCACGGCGACGGGCAGAGGCAGCATTCTGCACCCGAGGGAGAGAACGTACAGGCGGGTCAGTGGTTCCCATGTTGCAGGGGTCAGGGAAGAGGAGGACTGATGGCGTCCATGAGAAGCAGCCTTGCCGAGGCTGAGAGACTGCTGGAGAGTCCACTTAGTGA